GCTGCTGTTGTCACGAGGAGGGGAAGCGATCAACCACCCACCCCACTGTGTGAAAAGAGCTCCTCTTGTCATCAGTAGCCTGTCAGGATCCCAAATCTAGAGCCTCTCTCACCCGCTTGATATAGCTTTGAGACATCTCAAAACATTACTTCATACACGTGGCGATCAACCACCCACCCCACTGCGTGAAAAGAGCTCCTCCTGTCAACGGTAGCCTGTCAGGAACCCAGATCTGCAACCTCTCTCACCCGCTTGTTGCAGCTCAGGCTATTGAAAGTCACTTTTGATTATCCACGAAAGTCATCCGCATGATGTAGCTCTGGCTGTTGGATTCAGAATAGCGGGTTGTGCTGCTGTCAATGGGAGCAGTGAAGCGTGTCGAGTTGCCAGGCAGCAGCAAGCAATGACCGTGTAGTGTACACTCATGCGAGCGCAACAAACACCCTCTCACCCGCTTGAGGTAGCTGCGGCCATTGGAGTCGGAGTAGAAGGCCTTGCTGCTGTTGATGGGCGCATTGAAGAGAGCTTCCAGGCGCCAACACGGACTGTGTGTGTACACAACAAACAACAAACAACGTCTCACCCGCTTGAGGTAGCTGCGGCCATTGGAGTCGGAGTAGAAGGCCTTGCTGCTGTTGATGGGCGCATTGAAGAGAGCTTCCAGCGCCAACACGGACTGTGTGTGTACACAACAAACAACAAACAACGTCTCACCCGCTTGAGGTAGCTGCGGCCATTGGAGTCGGAGTAGAAGGCCTTGCTGCTGTTGATGGGCGACACGAAGCGAGTCACCACCTCGTGGTTGGTTGCTTGGCGGGCAGCGGACCCACCTGGTCATCACACACACACACGCACGCACGCACGCACACAGCAATGAACAGCACAGGCTGATGTGAACTAGCAGCGCATTCCTTTTCCATCGCGTGGAAATGGCTTCACAAGCAGTGGTGAGGCGAAACACCACCACACCTCTGGTCTGGTTGCCACCCCAGGGGGGCAGGGATCCATCTGGCCCAAGCAACGTCTTGTCAGACCACAGCCGGTTGGCCCAGGCAATGTCTTGTGAGACGACTGAAATGAAGAGTCGGTTCATGCGGATTCTGGAAACCAGGGTGTGCAAGAATCAGAGAGCACTCACGGAATAGTGCAGCTCAGCGTAGTCCCCCCTGGATACACTCTGAAGACCTGGGAGTTGGGAGCGGTGCAGAGCGGCAGAGACGCAAGCAGCGGGAGGATGCAATGAGGCAGTGGAAGCACGTTGCAGTGGGTAGGGCGAGGTAACAAAAAGGGAATCCATTTATGCACCACTGCAGGAAGTTGCGGGTTTATGTTTCTGAAAAGTGCCCTGCACACTCAAGGAGGTGGAGGAGAAGGAGGTGAAGGAAGTGCACTCACCTCAGAGATCCATGGAGTGATCTGGCGGCTGAACTCCTCCACGATTGGTCCACGCTGGATGTGAATGGGCACCTGTGCCACGTCAGCAGAGCAGAACAAAAATCTCATGGAAATCAAAGGCCTGGTGCTGTAAAGCGGCTTCACTCCACCCACCCACCCCACCCACCCACCCACCCATGCACGCACGCACCCACGAGAGCACCCACCCACCCCAGCCATCAAGAGCCATTCTACACTGAAGGCACAGTCAGCACCGGTGCAGCAGGAGAAGCATCACAAGCATGTCGCACTATGGTGCATCACGTACATGCCCATGCGCTGCGGTGCACACACCACCTCCTCTGACCTTTTCATTCTCAAGACACTGCCACTGGCGCCACCACTGCCCTGCGAGAGGCATGCTGCGTCATGGTGGTGGTTCTGAGTCGTGACCCACCCTCCCGCCCACTGACCTGGTGAGTGCTATTCGTGGTGGTGGTGACGGGCGTGGCTGGCTTGGTGGGCTGGAAGATGTCGCTCTTGAGAATTCTCAAAAGCGACTCAGATGTATGCACCTGCTGTGACTTGAACGACTCAAGGCACTGGTTCTACCAGTGGAGACTCAAGGCACTGGTTCTATCAGTGGAGTGTGAGATCCATGCTGCGTGCACCTTGGCGCTTGTTGTGACCCACACGTCCACTGACTGACCTGGTAGGTGGCGTTGGTGGAGGTGATGGGCATGGCTGGCTTGGAGGGTTGGAAGATGTATGCGCCGCCGGCGAATGTGGCATACTCCATCATGCTGGCACTCACTGCCATGCCCATGCGCTGCCGTGGCATGGGGTGGGGTGGAGTGGATGAGGTGGTACGATGTATGCACCTCAAGCTAAGGTGGCATACTCCATCATGCTGGCACTCACTGCCATGCCCATGCGCTGTGCCATGGCGCGGCATGGGGGGGCGTGGGATGGGATGATGTGGTGGGGTGAGGGGGTGCGTGCCATGGTATGCAGGGAGCAGAGCAGATGACATGACAGGGCATGTAACAGGAGTGCACAACGAGAAATTACATCCATTTGAGGATGGTACAAGTGCAGTGCCTACCAAGTGCCATTGTCGGCTGGACTGGAAAGTACAGTGTTTTCGCTTCACTATGTGAGTACGCTATGCTTTAGTTGCAAAGAAAGTAGAAAGAAGGATTGACACGATCCACTGTGTCAAGTCAATATGCTCTTCAACTGCAACAGCTTGCAGGAGGTTACCCATTCTATCCTTTCTAATCTCGCTTTCCCAGCCAGTAACAAATCATCCCAGCCAGTAACAAATCATCCCAGCCAGTAACAAATCATCCCAGCCAGTAACAAATCATCCCAGCCAGTAACAAATCATCCCTGCCCATGTAATCCTTTCCCATGTCATCCCTGCCCATGTCATCCCTGCCCATGTCATCCCTGCCCATGTCATCCCTGCCCATGTCATCCCTGCCCATGTCATCCCTGCTCATGCCGCCAGCCAACCCTTTTCCCTCACTCAACACCCATCGCTAATTGCCCGCCATAGTCACATCACCACCCACCACTTACTTACTCCACTGCCACACCACAATCTCCCCCGTGCCACACCACTCACCACAACCTCCTCCGTGCCATTGGCACTCCGAGAGACCAGCTCCATCCGCTGCATGCCCACCGCTGACTTGGAGAACGAGACACGCAACGCAGCCCGCTCCCCACCGTCCGTGCCAGCACCAGCAGCACCGCTACCACGAGTGGCCCCCACGCCTTGCCACCCTCCCAGCACAACAGTATCACCCCCTTCCAGCCCCCTCCCTCCCCCTCCCCCTCCCTCTCCTCCTCCCCCACCATCTTGCCCTCCTCCATTCCCCCACCACCGCCATGCAACCCCCTCCTGCTTCCTCTCCCCCTGCTCCCCGCCTCTCTCCCTCTCCTCTCCCCACCGTTCAACCCTCCCTCCTGTCCACCGCGCACCGCCATCCTCCGCCCTCTCGTGTTCCTCCCCCTCCCCGCCTTGCCGGGTTGCTTCTCGGCTGCCCCTGCCTGGGCCGCTGCAGCTTCCGTCTCAGCTGATGCCTTTTCAGATGCTGATGATGCTGCTGCTGCTGTCGCAGGCAGCGGTGCTGCCACAGGCTGTGCTGCTGCTGCTGCCGCTGCCGTTGTTGCTGTAGCGTCAACCACACTGCTCCATGCAGCACTCTCGTACGCTCTGCCAGGTGTGTCTGCACGTGGGGAAGGCGTGGAATTGTGAGAGGCAGGTGAGCAAGGGAGCAGAGTGGTTTGCAGGGGTGCTGTGGTTGTGACAGGAAGCACACACGTAGCATGCTCTGCTTGCTCTCTGTGCATGTGCTTGTCTGCATGGAACATACCTTGGCAAACCGTCCTTTCCAGTGAGCTCTTTCCTTGGAACATACCTTAGCGAGCTGTATACCACAGCTTCTGTACTTCTGACAAGCTTCAGATTTGCTGCTCTTCCGCCATGAGTAGCAAACCCGAGTGACGATTTTTCGAGATGGGCTAGACAGCGTACCTGACTGATGATAGGTGCTGTACCTTGGGTTGCTGGCGAGACAAAGAAGGTGGCGAATCCAAGAGGAGGCACCTCTGCATAAAACACAAGCGACAGCACTGCCTGCTGCTGCTGCTGCTGCTGCTGCTGCTGCTGCTGCTGCTCTCCCTCCTGCTCTCCCTCCCGCTGCTCCCCCTCCTTCTGCTCTCCCTCCTTCTGCTCTCCCTCCTTCTGCTCTCCCTCCTTCTGCTCTCCCCCCGTCTCCTCCTTCGTCTGCCTCTCCCGATGCTTCCTTTTCGGCTTATGGCTCGGCTGCGGCCCTCGCCCATCCCCATAATCCACCCACTCCTCCTCCTCCCTCCCCCTCCCCCGCCCTCCTCCTCATCCCCCTCCTCCCCCTCCTCCGCTCCCTCCTCCCCTCCTTCCCCCCCCTCCACCCCTTCCTCCTCCCCCTCCACCTCTCCTACTATTTCCCCCACGCCAGTGTAAGCAGCAATGTAGGTGGAGCGGGGTGGCGGGGGTGACGAGCGTCTCCCTGATTATTTGAGAGGGGATGGGGGCGCCAGAGGCGTCGGCGACTAGCAGATTGGGGGATGACACCTGTCAGGGAGAGCATTGGGAGAGGGGGAGAGGGGAGAGGAAGAGAAGGGAGGGGGTGGAAGGGAAAGCGTAAGCCCCTGATGTGGTTGGAGTGGAGCAGGTGGAGGGGGAGAGGAGGGTCTCTTGGAGTATTTGAGAAGGGGATGGCGGCGCCAGAAGCGTCGGTAACAAGGAGATGGGGGGATGACACCTGTCAGGGAGAGCAGTGGGAGAGGCGGAGAGACGGGGGGAACAGAGGGAGGGGAGAGGAGGGTCTCTTGAAGTTTTTGAGAGGGGATGGGGGCGCCAGAGGCATCAGTGACTAGAAGGTAGGGGGATGACACCTGTCAAGGAGCGTAGTGGGAAGGGGAGAGAGAGAGGGAGGAGCAGAGGAGGGAAGGGATGGAAAGGGCGTAAGACATGATGTGGTTGGAGTGGAGTGAATGTAAAAAGGGAGGAGAGTGATTGTTGAGAAATTTGAGAGGGGATGGGGGCATGAGAGGCAGCAGTGAGGAGTAAGCTGGGGAAAGATACCTATCAAGGAGTGAGAACAGAGGGAGGGGGGTGTTGTGTGGGGAGGGAGAGTGTGTGAAACCTCTGCGTTGTAAGGGAGAGGAGGGCAACAAATCGTTCACTTGTTAATGCTGTCGACCTCTGGTGCCGGTGCCCATGCAGGTGCCCATGCAGTTGCTGATGCAATTGCTGATGCTTAATGCCAATGCAAGGCAAGATGGATGAAGCAAGTAACAGCATTGAAGGGTGCGCGGTGCACTCATACCGGGAATCGAATCACTTCAGAGCGGGACCACGCGAGAGGGTTGAAGGCCACCACCACCTGTGGGATGGGTATGGATGGATGGGAAAGGTGGAGACGTGTGGGCCAATATGATACAGATGAGGTGCTTTTGAGGCACCTCATAAGAGGGTTGAAGGCCACCACCACCTGTGGGATGGCCCGATGGGTATGGATGGATGAGAAAGGTGGAGACGTGTGGGCCGATATGATATGGATGAGGTGCCTTGGGAATTCCCAATGGTACCTTGGGAGTTCTCAAAGGTGCCTTGGGAATTCTCAAAGGTGCCTTGGGAGTTCTCAAAGGTGCCTTGGGAATTCTCAAAGGTGCCCGGGTATAAGGATATGGGTGGGAGGGAGGAAGCATGGAGACAAGCGGTGCGTATGGAACTGAAAGAGAGAGATGGAGAGGGAGGTGGGTGAGAAGTTAGATGGAGGTGAGAGTAGGGATGGATGTGAGAGGTGAGGTGAGAAAGTAGCAAGGAAGGCAAGCAAAGGAGATGCGGAAACGGGCAGTTGGGAAATGGGCAGTGAAACAGAGGGAAGCAAGGATGCACAGGTCAGTGGGTTTTGAGTTGACTGACTGCATGAGGGAATGCTTCACGGCGCTTTATGGGATGGTGTGTGTGTGGCATGGCATGTGAAACAGCACAGCACGCAGGGTACGTACCAGGGTCTGATCTGGCTGCAGGGGTGTTTCGGTTGGAGGGCAATAGGAGATGTTGAGCAGAGGGCACTGTGAAGAGGGGGGAAGGAAGGGAGGGTGGGGAGTGGAATTCAGGATGAGAGGGGGTGATAGAGGGAGGAGGGATGAGAGGATGACAGGCAAGATGGAAGCAGCATAGAGGTTAGGAGCATAGCGGTCACAAATGGTTGGAGCACAACAATTTGTGATGCTCAGACGTAGTGGGAGCAGTTGAAAGAGCAGCTGGTCTGGTTGGTACAGTCTGTCAACCTGATCTGATCCAATCAAATCGCCCCTTTGGTTTTACAACGTCTAGTTTTGAGACGTCTCAAAACCTGTCAATTTCATTGAATCCAACCAATCGCCCCTTTGACCATCGTGGCGTAGCAAAAAGAAACATCCAGGGAATCAGTCACCTCGTTGACCAGCTCCTGTTTCGCACTTCTACAATCATCAACATCACACCACCATCAACTCACACCACCATCCATCACACCACAATCACACCACCATCAAACCACCACCACATCACACCGCCACCATCAACACCATCACACACCATTTTCAGGTTCAGTGAAGGAAGCTGCTGTCCCCCCTGCTCTGCTTTGGCACCGTCGCCCAGCGTCACCCCCCTCCTTCTCCGCCCCCTGCTCACTTGCCCCTCCTCCACCTCCTGCACCCTCCTCTCCTCAGCCCGTGTGCCGTCAGCAGCACGGCCAGCAGCACCATTCTGGACCGCTTGAGGGTCAGCTGGCTGCAACGACTGAGGGTCAAACACCTCATTGGGGTCGCTTGCTCTCTCCTCCTCCTCCTCCTCCTCCTTGTCAGGAACCCTCTTTTCCACACGGGAATTTTTTCTGAGTCGACTCAGATATTGTCTCCTCCGTCACGTGAGGGACTTTCTTCTTTGCACGGGACCTTGCAGCATGCTGCCCACCATCTCCCTCTCCCGCCTCCTCATCCCCCTCATCTTCGTCATCCGCCGCCGCACCTGCTCTATCCGCCTCATACAATAACTCATTCATCCTGTCGATTTTGTTGCGTGCCTTACCCTCTTCGTCCCCCTCATCTTCCTCATCCTCCTCGTCCTCCTCCTCTGCTCCATCTGCTAACTGGTTCCAGAACCCCCACCCGCGCTGCTCGACACTGTCCTCCCTAAATGTGAACTCCACGGCTGCTGCTGCCCGCGAGGAGAGGTTGGAGGAGAGGTTGGATGGAGGTACGGATGGGGATGGGGGGAGGGTCCCTCGCGTGATGAGGTGCGCCAGTGCTGCTGTCAGCACGGCTGATGCCTGCATGGGCGGTTGGTAGGGTGGGGCATGGGAGGTTGGGAGATGGGAGGGGAAGTTGGCAGGAGGGGGTACGGATGGGGATGGTGGGGTGTGTGAAGTGCCTGGAGAGGGGGGATGGTGCCTCGCATGATGAGGTGTCAGCACGGCTGATTCCTCTATGGGTGGGGAAGATGGGGATGGCGAGGTGAGGTGTGTGGAGTGAGGTGACTTTTGAGTCGACTCAAAAGTCACCTAGGTGTGTGGAGTGGAGTGTCTGGGGAGGGGTGGGGGGTGCCTCGCGTGATGAGGTGCATGAGGGCTGCTGTGAGCACAGCTGGTGGATGCCTGGGTCGGCGGTCGGCGGTGGGTGGTATGGGGAATGGGGGCCCGTGAGGTTGGGAGGCTAGCACCAGCCTGAACCCATTTAAAGGAGCAGTCTATGGTAATACCATGCATGTCGCACCCAACCCAACCCAACCCAAACCAAACCAACCCATACGTGTATGTACGCAGCACCCAACCTCGGCAGTGCAGTGCAATACAGCCGTTCAGAGCAGTCGTCAGTAACATGCTGCTGTGCTGTGCCTGTGATGCGGTGTTGCACGCATAGGAGCTCACACATGCACGCATAGGAGCTCACACATGCACGCAGCACCTAATACCATCCGTCGCCATCCACGCCACAGCTCACCTCCAGCGCAGCGCGGTGAAGTCTAGCAGAGTAATCATCAGTAACGTACCGCTGTGCCGTGCCTGTAATGCCGTCGTGGTGCTGCCCCGCTGCCACCGCCGCCTACAGCCGGAACGAGCTCAACCCTAACCCCGACCAGCCCTAGCTGTAGCAAGCCAGTCATCAGGCACGCACTCACCTCCTCTGAAGCGCGGTGAAGTCTGGAAGAGTAATCATCAGTAACGTGCTGCTGGGCCGCGCCCGTGATGCCATCATGGAGCTGCACCACTGCCACCGCCTCCTCCAGTCCATTCGCCTTGCACTGAGGGGACTAACCTCTACCCATGCACTCATCCCTCACCTCCTCAGCAATGCGGTGCAGCAGAGCAGAGTAGTCATCGGTAACATGCTGCTGCGCCGTGCCTGTGATCCCATCATGGTGCTGCACCACTGCCACCGCCTCCTCTAGCCCATGCCATACACTCACAGGAGCAGTCTCTACCCGTGCACTGAAGGGATCAACCTCTATCCGTGCAACCCTCACCTCCTCAGAAGCGCGGTGCAGCCTGTCAGAGTAGTCATCGGTAACATGCTGCTGCGCCGTGCCTGTGATCCCATCATGGTGCTGCACCACTGCCACCGCCTCCTCTAGCCCATGCCATACACTCACAGGAGCAGTCTCTACCCGTGCACTGAAGGGATCAACCTCTATCCCGTGCAACCCTCACCTCCTCAGAAGCGCGGTGCAGCCTGTCAGAGTAGTCATCGGTAACATGCTGCTGCGCCGTGCCTGTGATGCCATCATGGTGCTGCACCACTGCCACCGCCTCCTCCAACCGGAACGAGCTCGCCACTCGCACCCGCCGCTCGCTCTCCCACCCCACCCTCATCCGCTCCACCCCTCCCGCACTCTCCCCCCCATCCGCCTGCTTCTCCTCCTTCTGGCTGTCTCTGGTCGTCTTGCCCATGTGTGTGTCGAGCACAAGGTGCTCCAGTACCATCATGCGCCCCGTCGCCATGCCCCATGCCTGTAGCGCTTCCTTCCCCACTGCTGCCTCTGCTGCTGTGGTGGCCTGAAGGACGAGAGAGCAGGACAGGCACACATGTGATGCTGTTGGGGTAAGCAAGACAGCTTCAGCCCACTTCTTGTCCTTGAAAGGAAGCAATGGCAAGTGTGCTTTTCAAGGGCGCGCCAAGTGACGTGAGCCAGGTGGGTTCAGGCATCCGTAGCTTCCAGCACTGACGCCAACCAACCAACCAGTCCCCTGCATGTAGGCCAGGCGAGCAGCATCGACCGACGGGTTGCGTGAAACATGGGTGAGTGAGGAAAACGTGATTGATGTGACTGTTGAGTTGACTCAAATGGTTGAAACAACAGGCCAGAGTGAAAGATGGGAGGGTGCGGCAGGTCTGGATGATGTGACTGTAGGGAGGGAAATAATTAATAGGTGAATTCTCTTTTCGCGTCACATCATAATCACATCACAACACAGCATATCGCATCATACCATACAACATCCCATCCCATCCCATAGCATCACACAGAAACAGGCAGCTGAAATAAGCAGCGCGCTAGCAGCAGCGAGCTGCAGGAGCGCACGAGGAGCTTCAGGGAGTAAGACCCAATGTGACATCCCATCCCATCCCATCCCATCCCATCCCATCCCACCCCACCCCACCCCATCCCATCCCATCCCATCCCATCCCATCCCATCCCATCCCATCCCATCCCATCCCATCCCATCCCATCCCATCCCATCCCATCCCATCCCATCCCATCCCATCCCATCCCATCCCATCCCATCCCACCCCAGCCCATCCCATCCCATCCCATCCCATCCCATCCTATCCCATCCCATCCCATCCCATCCCATCCCATCCCATCCCATCCCATCCCATCCCATCCCATCCCATCCCATCCCACCCCACCCCACCCCACCCCACCCCACCCCACCCCACCCCACCCCACCCCCATCCCCATCCCATCCCATCCCATCCCATCCCATCCCATCCCATCCCATCCCATCCCCATCCCATCCCATCCCATCCCATCCCAACCATCCCATCCCATCCCAATCCCATCCCATCCCATCCATCCCATCCCATCCCATCCCATCCCATCCCATCCCATCCCATCCATCCCATCCCATCCATCCATCCCACCCCACCCCACCCCACCCCACCCCACCCCACCCCACCCCATCCCCATCCCATCCCATCCCATCCCATCCCATCCCATCCCATCCCATCCCATCCCATCCCATCCCATCCCAACCCATCCCATCCCATCCCATCCCATCCCATCCCATCCCATCCCATCCCATCCCATCCCATCCCATCCCATCCCATCCCATCCCATCCCATCCCATCCCATCCCATCCCACCCCAGCCCATCCCAGCCCATCCCATCCCATCCCACCACACCACACCACACCACACCACATCAAATGAGCAGGTTGAGAGGGCAGCGCACCAGCAGCAGGGCGCTGCAGGAGCGCGCGAGGAGCTTCAGAGAGGGGCGGCTGCTGAAGTAGCCGGACCAGTAGGGCCCGTCGTCCTGGTAGCTGGGGCGAGGAGCGCATGGACGGAGAAGAGGGAGGGGTTGGGGGACGGGGGAAAATATGCGGAGAAGGGTCCTCATGTGAAGTAGCCGGACCAGTAGGGCCCGTCGTCCTGGTAGCTGGGGCGAGGGGCGCATGGGCGGAGGGGAGGGAGAGGGTGGGCGGAAGGGAGGGAGGGGAATGGGGACGAGGGGGGGAACGCGAGAACATATGCGGACAATGGTTTCTCCTCTGAAGTAGCCCGAACAGTAGGGCCCATCGTCCTGATAGCTGGGGCGAGGGGCACATGCATGGGGTGAGGGGTGAGGCAAGGGGGGAGGGGAGCGGGAAGGGGGGAGACTGGGGGGAGGGTATGTGAGAACTCTATGCAGAGAATAGGTTCCCTTGTGCCATGGCCCAGCCTGTCCAGTGGGCGTGATGTGCCGTCCAGTGGAGCGTGCTGTGGCGGCCAGTGGAGCGTGCTGTGCCGCCTAGTGGGGCGTGCTGTGCCGCCCAGTGGGGCGTGCTGTGCCGCCCAGCGGGGTGTGCTATGCCGCCCAGCGGGGTGTGCTGTGCCGTGCTATGCCGCCCAGCGGGGTGTGCTGTGCCGCCCAGCGGGGTGTGCTGTGCCGCCCGGTGGGGCGTGCTGAGCCGTCCTCCCCATGGCTGGGGTGAGAGACTCTTGGGCATGGAAAAGCAGAGATTGGGAGGGAGAAGGGGAAGGGGAATGGGTGAGCGATAGGGGGGCATGATGGGTGAGAGAGATATATATTCTTTTTAAGAACATATATAGATGAATGCAGTGTGGTGAGTGCGTGTGGGCGCGGATGGGTGCGGGTGGGTGGGGATGGCTAGTTGCAGGGGTAACCAAACCGTTGCCTGCCTGCTGACTCACGGGAACATGTCACCAGTCTTGAGAGGCCACGTGGCATTGGCAGAGTGGAGTGCGTCCAGATACATGGATGGCGTGGAATAGAGCGCGTTCACCCTCCCGTCCTGTAACACAGGTACAGAGTTAAAATGAGTAAAATCTCATCCCAAGGTGCAAAAAATTGGTTTCTTATGAGATGGCATGGCATGTCACGCACGCCATCCCACCCCATGCCATGCCAAGCCAAGCAACCAGCAGCGACCCAACCCAATCATCCAGCATCCATCAGCCCACTTCGCACCCAGCGAGCAACTGACCAGGTTGACGTGGTGAATGAGCTTAAACCACGAGATGGCATGCCACGCCATGCCATCCCAAGCCATGCCTAACACACAGCGACCCAACAGCGACTGACCAGGTTGACATAATGAATGAGCTTGTCCATGTTCTTGAACCACGAGATAGCATGCAATCCCATCCCATCCCATCGCATGATGTGTCATGTCAAGCCATGCCATGCCATACCACACCAACCACCCAGCGAGCGACCGACCAGGTTGACGTAGTGAATGAGCTTGTCCATGTTCTTGAACCACAAGATGGCGCGGTCAAACGCAAAGTCCTCGCCCATGGGGAACAGCAGGTGATTCGTCTTAAAGCCCTCCGCCTGTTAGTTAGTGTGAGAGAGAGTAAGGTGTAGAAGAAGCAGCAAGGGAGTTAGTGAGTGAGTGAGTGAATGAGTGGGTGAGTGAGTGAGTGAGGGCTTGGTTCAAGGTAAAGTCCTCGCCCATGGGAAGCAGCAGGTGATTCGCCTTGAAGCCCTCTGCTTCCTCGGGAGAGTGTGTGGGAGAGAGTGAGCCTCACTCACTCGGTGAGGTGCAGAGGATGCAATGGGTGAAGGGTGGCTGGTTCAACGCAAAGTCCTTGCTCATAGGGAACAGCATATCTTAAACCCGTGAGGCCCCTTGGGGGGTGAGTGAGATGAGAACCGTGGAGAGCAACGGTTAAGGCAGTGAGAGGAAGAAAGGGTTTTGAGATAGAGGGGTTGGCGGGTGGAAAGACGCTGTGGATGGTACAGAGGAGGGCCAATCACGCACACCAGGGAACTTAGAAGACTTGAAGGCCCCATGCAAGTACCAAGAAACGTGAAAAAAACTTAGGCGACTAACATTGCGCGCTCAATCAGTCACGTCGCCCATATTTCAAACCATGAGCACTTCAGCATGATTAACACGAACATCTACTGTGCAAGTGCGCTTGAAACACAGTCCAAGCGCCACACCACTCACTCTCGGTGTCAAAATTTTCAAGACGTCTCAAAGCACACTCCAAGCGCCACTCACTCACCCACCCTCGGTGTTACTTCTGCAACAAACTCTTCTGCGAGGCGCTGCACGTTCGTTTTTATGTCAACTATAAAAACATGTACTGGGCAAGAACCACTTGAAGGCCCAAGAGCCACTCACTCACCCTCTTGGTCACTTCCGCTACAAACTCGTCCACCAGGCGCTGCACGTTGGGCGACCCCCCATAGGGATTGTCCTGACCAGTGGACGAGGGCAGAGGGACGATGGTAGAGCAGATCGAGCAATGGAAGAGCAGAGGGTGTGGGGAAGCTGTGGTGGTGCGACAAGGCAGGAAAGGGGGAGTTACTCTTGCAGAGTGAAATGGGGTTGTCAGGAGTAAGGGGGTTCAGTGCGCACACGACCAGGGATCCACACAAGTGATCAGCCGAAACACTGAGTGGTGCAAGGCATGGTGCTGACAGGCATGGTGGAAGGCATGGTGGAAGGCATGGTGAGACGTCTCAAAAACACTCCTTTATCACGCGCCTACAGGAGAGGTGCACACATGAAGCTTGCTGTGCAGCAGAGAGGCAAGTGCAGAGCAGCAGAGGGGCAAGTGCGTTGCAGCAGAGGGGCAAGTGCGTTGCAGCAGAGGGGCAAGTGCGTTGCAGCAGAGGGGCAAGTGCGTTGCAGCAGAGGGGCAAGTGCGTTGCAGCAGAGGGGCGAGTGCAGAGCAGCAGAGAGAGCGAGGGAGTACCTGAATGCGGTAAGAAGGATCGTCTGAGTCCTGGTAGCGGAACTGTGAGGGCGAGTAGTAACCATCATAGGATACCATTCCCAGCACCTGGGAGAGGGTTGGAGAGGGGTGGAGAGAGTGGGGTGGCGAGGGGAATGGCTGGTAGGATCGTCTGTTTCCTGGTATGGGCAAGTAGTAACCGAATACCATTCCAAGGTTGACGATGAAGGTTTTTTGAAATCGAGATCGCCGCGCTCGCGAACGTCAAAAAAGCCACCTTGATTGCTGGGCGCATGACATCCGATGGTGCTCGTGACATCCAAAGTCTTTGACGCGAATTTGACTTCATCTGCCGCTGGCAGAGTTGACTCACAGTGCTATCTGCTAGTTTTGAATTAAAATGTAAGAAGAGGATAAGAACTCGCTTTGCTACATGCAATCTAGCGGATCAGGTGCATTGCATTTGACAAGAGGAGAGAAGATGGTGACCTTGGTACGACCAATCTAACCGAAGCACACTCAATGCACGAGCACCACCAGATCCTATCTTCACCATCACCCGTACAACGCACGCAATATTCGCTCCACAACAGCACACCCTACATCTCAACAGCATGACATGTGGCCCACCTGGTTGCCTCGAACGAACCTTCGTATTGTCTGTCGTAGACAATACCACATGTGGCCCCAGTTCGTGTATTAGAGAAATACAGCTGCCTGCCTGTCTGGCACACGAACTGTGATGTCCTGGCGGACATGTGAGCCTGCTTCTCCTATTCAATCCCCAGCAGCACACCCTACCATTCAATCAGCCTCCTCACATATCACACACAACTGGTTGTCTCTCTGTGACGCCCCTTCAGCACGCCGCACAAACTCCATTCCATTGTTTTGGTGGCCAAACGAGTCTGCTTTTCCAATAGAATCCACCGTAACACACCCTACCATACAGCAGCAGCACACCCTAGCACACACCTGGTTTTCTCTCTGCGTCGCCCCGTCTGCCCGCCACACAAACTCCATTGTTTTGGCGGCCAAACGAGACTCCTTTTCCTGCTGGTCCACCCTCCCCATGAACACGGCTTCCAACCCCGCCTGGTGGGCACGTGTGTGGGAGGTGGGTGGGAGGAAAAGGGATGGGGGGTCGGGGGTGGGAGTGGATGGTCAACCGAGTCTCCCTCTCCTGTTGGTCCTCCCTCCCCATGGACACCGCTTGTAGCCCCGTCTGGTGGAGAGATGCTTGTGGGAGAAGGGTGGGGGAAAGGGGAAGGTGGGAAGAGAGGGGTGGTGGTGATTTCGTGGAGAGGAAGGGATGGGGAATGGGAAAGGGGGCAGGGGTTGGAATTCGCAGGCGGCCATGTGAGCGTCCTTTGCCTGCTGGTCCACCCTCCCCATGAACACTGCGCCTGGTGGACATGCATGTGGGGAGGGGTGGGGGGGGACTAAGTGGGGGGGAGGTGGGGGGGAAGGGAAATGAAGGAGGGGAAGGACCACCTGCCCAGGCCGCACCTGAGCAGTGATGAGGCTGGCTTGAGTAGCAGAGTGGCCGAAGGGGTCGATCTGCCAGGCGATGCGCGGGGTGACGTTGAATGTCGCCATGAGGAAGCGGTGCCCCATGGCCATCTGATGCACCATGTCCGTGTAATGTGCACACGCCTCGTCATGCATCACCCACCCGCCGTTGCTGCACAGCATAGCACATGGAAGAAACATAGAAGATATGTGTATGAGAGAAGAAGGGGAAGGAAAGGAGGGGGAGGGAGGGGGAAGTGGGGGGAAGGGTAGACACGGGAGTGGGGGTTGTAGGAGGGGGAGGAGGGGGGGATGACATGTCAAATGAGGGTTCTTCAACATCCCGCCATGGGGGTGTGCAGCATGCCCAGTACTCCTGTCATGCATGACCTACACGCCATGCTCTGGAGGTGAGGGAAAACTTGAATTCAGCGAATGCATGCATGCTACGGTAATGAAAACTTGAAAAAGCATGGGTGATGCTACTAGATTCGTATCCCTCCTGTCACATGTCAGAATGCGATGTTGTCAGTGAATCCCGGTCTACATCAAGGCATGGGCTGACTCACATGAACTCCAATCGGCCAGAAGCCACCAGCTTCCGTACTTTATCCCGCATTGGTTCGTGCTGGCGTTCCCACCAACGATAGAAAAAACCCTGCAGAAATACAGATAAGTGGTGCGACTTGTAATATGCTTCCACTTAGGATTTAGCAGTAGAGGTACGGAGCACTTGGTACTACCGTGCAAACGTAAGGCCACATTGAACCTATTACTAGGTCCAGACGATGCTCTCACCTGCTCGACTTGAATGAATCTACGGTCAGGATTGTCTGAAAGCTGGTCAACGACGGTCTCAATGATGTACTGTACCGGGTCGACCTGCAGTGATGTACGACGAAACAGAAACAGGGTGCGGATGAAGGTTAGCATTTGTCAGACTTTCGTCATCTCCGCTTGTCAGCGTGAACTGACTACACGGACCCACGTCATACAAACCACGCCCATGATTTCACGTCACGAACTTAATATGCGGCTCTCCGAACTTCAAAGACCGATGTTCCGCCAAACACAGAAGCCCCTTATCGAATTCCCTACGGAAGCGCAGCCCGGCTGGGAGGCCTTGAAGATCCATTTGAAATCTATTTCCAACATTTTCGGGGAACAATGCTGTAGCAGCGAGGACAGCGGACGAGTTCAAGCTGCAGTGAGGACTCCTGACAGAGAGTAACGCAGAATTCGATCCGATTCTTCAATCTCTCAATCTCTGGCATTTTTCGTAGTCCGTACTCACGTAATACTGATCAATGGTTTTCAGCCAACCGAGATCGTCGTGCGAGTGAGCCACCAAGTGTACGTTCAGCTTTCCGTCCACTAATACAGCGCTCGTGTTGTAACGAAACGGTACGATCTCCTCAAACGAGGTTAGAGATTCACTGCGAACCGGCGCGATCGGCGTATGTTCGTTCTGAACCGTTGCTGTTTCTACCCTGTCAAATGATATCGGAATGCGTGGTGACAGTGACTGCTGCAGCATCAGCAAAGTGAAGCCCGTCAAGACGCCTATAACGAACGGCGGCACGAGCACTGCGGCTCGATTCCATGAAGCCATCGCCGCCGCGTTCATCTTTAGTTCCACTGTAAGGAAAATCAGAGAAAGCTAGAAGCTATTGAAGATTCAATGGAAGGAGAACACTAACTCCGCAATGCCGTGAGTAGCTCGGTTATGAGGGTAGCCGCATCATTGCGATCTAACTGAAACATTCTTGGTAATGGTGCTCATTCCGCTACATGTCTGAAAGTTCAGCTCGGACTGGTGAGTAGTGAGAAATGGAAGTCCGAGTGAGAATACCGCTTCAGAGTGCATGGTATTGTACTGAACCGCTTTCGATGAGCAAAATGTGAATTCTTGGTCTGGTGCTCACTTGCTTCGCTGTACGGCAGCATTTGGTGGAGTGGGGGGGTGGATTCTGGATAAACCGTTGCATATTGTTTCCTGGTGCTCTGACGGAGTTGACGTTGAGATTGGGCCGAGGCTTAGGTACCGTATTTAACACTTCTGTAACGTAGAAATTGACCTGTAAAACGTTTTGGACCAAGGGATGTCGCGCGCTGAGTTCCTGGCTGGACGTTGGGACTGCCACCAATCAAGTCGCTCACTGCTTCGCTATTGTCGGCGCGGCGAAGGCTACATATGGCTATTTGAAGTCAGTTTCTAGGCATCTCATAAATCAGGACGCGGTACAGTTCGGTCTATCAGGGCTGACACGTGTTTTTGTAAAGACATAAGGGTAACAAGTGGTTCAAATTTTCAAACCTTCAACTCTTCCCAGCCAAAGATCGCAATGTCAGAACGGCTGACGTCAGTAACCATACAGGTGTCACGTTGAAAACCAGCAGATCCTGACCAGGGCAAATTTTATTAGTGTAAATCTCCCTGATACCCTGATTATCAGGGTGGTTTTTGGTAGTCACATTGATGGCCTAGGGTAAATTTTTTCGGGAGCTAGAATTTTCCTGATATGCCAGGGTTTACAAGGCACACTGATTGTGAAGAAGTGAACGTGAATGAACTATGAGTGAAGTGGGTACAAGTACTAACCCTAATTGGGTTGTACCCCTTATGGGATACTCCACTATAGCCTACACAAAAGCATAAGCTATAATGTTCTGACACACCCCCATAGGCAAAGTGGGGAGAACAAGGGGTCACAAGACCAGTCAAGCAAAGCAAAGCAAAGCAAGCTCAGGGTGGATCACAACGTCACCACACAGTCTGAGCACAAGGTCAAGGCCACAAGGCCAGTTCACATGCAGGAGGAGACATATATATATATATATATATATATATATATATATATATATAGGTCTAAACAAACAAGAGCAGGTATATATATATATATATGCAAGAGTACAAGTAAGATCAGGAGGTGAGCAAGTGAGGCAAGACAGGGACAAGTCCCAGCTGAGTGAAGAAACGCTGATGATCACAAGGCGGAAGTGCCTTGGTGAAAACATCAGCAGTGTTGGCCTCAGAGGCCACGTACGCAAGTCGCAACTGACCACGCTGCTGCAGCTCACGAGCAAGAAAGTAGCGGAGAGCAATGTGCTTCGTTCTGTGCTCCAGGCGCTGCTCTCGACACAAGGCCAGCATGGCCTTGTTGTCTACGTACAGCACTGAAGGAGAACGAGGCGGCTCTCCAAGGTCAGTCAGCAGGTAGGTGAGCCAGCGAAGCTCCTGAGCAGCCATGGCCCCGGCGTAGATCTCAGCCTCACAACTGGAGCCGAGAACAGAAGGCGAGCGAGTAGCCCGCCACGAAACAGAGCCGGAACCAAGACTGAAGGTGTAACCCTGCGACGACCGCTGCGTAGCCTGGTCGTCAGCCCAAGAAGCGTCCGCGTGCCCAGTGAGGACCACTGGACTCCGCCCTCCAAGCACTAGCCACATGCCCGACGTACTGCACAAGTAGCGTAACACCCTCTTCGCTGCAGCCATGTGCTCTGGTCGGTGTCTCCCAGGAGCAACATAGCGTGCCAAGATGCTAAGAGGGTATGCAAGGTCAGGTCGAGTGCAGGTCATCAGGTACATGAGGCAGCCAACAAGCTCTGGGTACGGGCCACTCGACTCTACGGACTCATCCGAAGGCAGAGCTGAGAGCGAGTGGCGAGTAGACAGAGGAGTGGCCTGAGGCGAGGAGTACGTGAAGCCGAAGCGCTGAAGGACCTGCTGCACCATGTGTGACTGAGTCAAGGTAATGGTGCGGCGTGCTCTGTCTCGGGTGATCTGCAAGCCAAGGTAGCTGCGCAGTTCACCCAGGTCTGTGCACGTGTGTCTCTTCTGCAGCTCGGACTTCACGTAGGCGAGTCCAGCAGTGTCCGCTGTGGCAAAGACCAAGTCGTCGACGTACACGAGGATGTAGAACGGCGGCAGAGAAGTGTCGGTGCGCAGAAACAACGACGGGTCAGCAGTAGAGGGAGCAAACCCAAGAGCCGCAAGCGTAGTCCTCAGTGTGTCGTGCCACTCACGCGGTGCCTGGCGGAGACCGTAGACTGGCCGTCGGAGGCTCCACTGGGTGCCAGGAGGGAAAGTCCCAGTGAAGCCAGGTGGACGGCGCAGCCAGATCTCCTCGTGCAGGCTACCCTGCAAGAAAGCAGTGCTGAAGTCAAGAGAGTGGAGCTCGTAGTCGCGCTGAGCGGCTATGTGCAGCAGCACCCGAAGAGTGGTCATCTTCGGGGTGGGAGAGAAGGTCTGAAAGTAGTCAACTCCCTGCCGCTGACTGAAGCCACGAGCCACGTACCGCGCCTTGAAGACAGGTGGAGAGCCCGGCGGCCGCTTCACCCTGAAGATCCACATGCCACTGACGATGTTCGCCCCACGAGGGGGAACCTCGTCAACGTAGGTGCCTGTGGACTTCCAGGAAACCATCTCTGCATCCATAGCTGCCTGCCACTGAGAGGAGTAGGGACCCTGACGGCCTCCGCGTAAGAGCGCGGAGTCGGGATGTCTAGTGCATCCGGGTCTCCCTCAGGGGCAAGCAGTACAGACGCGAGATGAGGTGAAGCAGCAGCCAGACACTGAAACTCCTCCTGCCTGTCCTCAAGGACGTCCGTGCCAAGAGCACACTCACCCCCGACGGACGGAGGACAGACAGACGCAGACCCAGCAACAAGACTAGCAGCGTAGTCTAGACGACAGCGAGCAGCAAAGTCGACGAGCTCAGCAACAAGAGCAGACGCAGCAGTGGACTCAAAGGAGGGGTCAGTGACGACAGTAGCAAGGAGACGCGTGACAGTAGGACTGGCAGCACGAAGAGAGTCCGACTCAGGGTCGGCAAGAGCAGGAAGCGAGGACTCAGGAGGAGAGGGCAAAGGGGCACGCAGAAGAGCAGTGGACGGACGCACAGACATCCGGTGCGTGCCAGGGACAGGAGGAGGACGCTGACGCGAACTACGACCACTAGTGCGAGCAGCACGAACAGGCGACTCAGGACGATACGCAGGCTCACGACGCTCAGCAAGACCCCCAGTAGGACCAGTGTAGGAAGAGGGAGAAGGCAGTGGGGAGGCCGGCGGTAACTGTGACTGCGACTGGACAGGCGGTGGACCCTCTAAGAGAGGAGGAAGACCAAGAACCTGCTGAAGGAGCGGAACGAAGTACAGCCGAGGCCGCGCGGTGGCACGAAACACAGCAGGGACAGCACCAGCACCCTCAGCACCTCCGGCAGCACCAGCGCCAACAGCACCTCCAGCGACAGGACCTCCAGCAGCACCAGCAGCACCCGCAGCACGACCACCTCCAGGACGGACAGTAGTAGTCTCAGAACCAACACCCTCAGCAGCTCCAGCTCCAGGCGAACCCGCATGCCGAGCAGCTCCGGGACCGGCGGCACCAGCACCCTCAGCGGTCGAAGAAGCGCCAGCTCCAGCAGTACGCCTCCAGCGGCAAGCAAACCACTCACGCAGCTCCTGTGGAGAGAGTGGCTCCCGCCGAGACGAAACACCCGGAGAACCTCCAGGCCCAGCACCGCCAGACGCCACAAGGGGAGGTCCAGTGGCCGCAGGCTCCACACCTCCAGGCTCAGCAGCTCCAGACGCAGCACCCCCAGGCTCAGCACCCCCAGGCTCAGCACCCACGCGCGCAGCACCCTCAGAGTCAGCACCCCCTGGCTCAGCACCCCCAGAGGCAGCACCCCCAGGCTCAACACCCCCAGGCTCAGTACCCCCAGACTCAGCACTCCCAGAGTCAGCACCCCCAGGATCAGCACCCCAAGGCTCAGCACCCCCAGCAGTACCTGAGTCACCAGCAACCTCGACCGGCTCGACTGCATCTACCTGGGACACACATGAAGGGGCAGGACCCTGAGGGGGAAGGGGGTCTACCG